TATGTATGAAACTGTCATTTTTGAGGTGCTCACAAAAATAAAAAGAAATAGACCCCAGAAGGAATTGAACTTTTGACCTTGTGGACCGTAAATTTTGGTGTCAAAACCCACTGAGCCACCTGCAACACTTTTCGAGAAATTGACGTCTTTGAGCTTTTTTAGTGGGTTTTTAAAGGTTTTTAGGGGTTCTGAGTAAATTGTCATGATTTAAAAAGTCTAAATGGCTATTTGCAACCAAAAAAATCGAAAATAAAAATTAAAAAAAAAAAAAATTTTTTTGGAAGCAAATAAAATTTCCATTCTTACACTTCAAATTCGTCTTACAATATCATTTTCGCCTCTATGCGAAATTAAAAAAAATAACTTTAGAAGGAATCGAACTTTTGACCTTGTGGACCGTAAATTTCGGTGCCAAAACCCACTGAGCCACCTTGGACACTTTTTGGGAAATTGGCGTTTTAGAGCTTATTTAGTGGTTTTTAGTAGTTCTGAGTGGTTTTTCATGAATAAAAATGTCAAAAATAGCTGTTTTCAATCGAAAACTTGTTTTGAAACTGTTGTTTTGCAGAACTGGATGCTGAACAATCCCAAATGGAAAGCTTCGACTTGTTTTACATGTGCGCCGCAATCATTTTGAAAGTTTTGAGTAGTAAGTTTCACATTTTGCAACAATCGATTGAGTCCCAAACTTCAAATTCAGGTGGAGATCGACTTGGTTGCTTATTGCATCTGGCAAACACCCAAATCGTGGCGATGCACCTGAAATCTTTGGAAAATTTGACGATGACAAAAATATTAAGGATGTGAAATCAAAACGAAAAGCTCAAAATCCGTGGGACAATTAATTTATTGATTTTGTCGGTTATAACGATTTAGCATTCAATTTCATCTTTTGAACATATCATGAACCATTTTGCATCGAATAAATATTTTATTTCATATTTGTTCAATATGAAGTATATCAGCGGGGGTGTGAGAAACCGCCGTACGTCTCGAAAATGCCATCTCATTTGGCGACGACTCCAGTGCACCTTTTCTCTTGTTAAAGGTGGGGGGACAGGAGATTTTTCGTAGTTTTTTTGTAGCTAGAGTATGCATTCTACCGTGACGGTGTACAACGCTTAATGTCACTCTGCGTACAGCTGTCGTCCTCGCCTTTATGTATGCAAACGGGCGTGCACTTTCTCTTTGCCCGCGTAGCTCAGTCGGTAGCGGCGCCGCACCCTCAATCATCGCCCTCACAAGTTCAACTCCTCGAGGGGCATCTTTGAACGGAATTTCGAGAACATTATTTTTTTCATGTCCCCCCTCCTTTAAAATACTGTGGTTGTCTCCCAGACATTTAGTAATAGGTAGTGGAGGATTAGAAAGTAAGCTCAGCGAGCTTTTACGGATCATTAATCATAATTTCGGTATTATTCATTTGGTCTGTAAAAGACATTTCAAGATATATTCAAAACAAAAAAGAGGGGTAAGAACGGACGGGTGGAAAATTCAAAATATAATTAGATATGTATCAGGCTTGTTCGGAAAAACAAATTCGGAAAATCGAGTTCTCGAATTTTCTCGAATTTCAATTAGTCAAAAATTACCAGTTTATTTGACAAAAACAACAAAAACAACAAAAAGCACAAAAATGAAATGGAAAACAATAGATGAACAAGCACAAGTAACAAAAAGTAACAAAAGTATTAATTATTTTTTTTTGAATTTTGTTGATGAAATCCCATCAATTTTACATTCTTTTGCAAAAAAAGAAGTTTGGAAAAATTTTCTGCGTTCAGTAATTTCCTATTATCTGTGAAAGCGAAAATAGATATTTGCCTGCGTTTCCCCAATCTCTTGCAAAATGAACCATAAAATATTCCGTTTTTATGATAATACATAAAAGCGAGAGAGCATGGGCTTCTAGAGAGACGCAGAGAAAATCGTGGAAATCGACGGAAAAGCGAACAAGAAACCCCCATTCTATTCTATTCCAACCCCTGACTATGTGTGTTTTAATGGTCTTTTAATTGATTTTTTGAGAAATTTAGTGAGTTTTTGACTGAAATTTTGAAAATTAGAGAGTTTTTGTTTCAGATAACCTTCCCTTTGGACCACTTACTGAATGAGGTCTACAATTAAAAAAAAACGATTTTTCTGAAAATTGTGAGTTTTTTTTTTGAATTTTGAATTTTTTATTATCCGAATTGTTTTCAGAATCAAAGTTATGCTATGAAGACGTCGATCAGAAGAAAGTAGAGATGACAATATCCCAGGTTTCTTGCTCAAAGAGGTTCTCATGGTCCATGACATGCTTCTCAACAAAAAGTAATTTTCCAAAGAAGTGATAATGATATGATTTTGAAATATTACAGACAATGAAGGACACACTATCTTCCACCTTGTCTTGTGCTCTTTCGACTTGAATCACTTGCTTTTTTGGAGGTATGCGCCTTTAAATTTTTGGGATTTTTCGAAAAATTCAAATTCAAGCGAATTGGGCCTTGTTTTTACTCATTTTGAAGGAAATTTTGCGTTGAATTTGGAATCAGCTCGTCAAGCGCTTCAAAATGAGCATAAACATGTCTATACTTAGGCGGAAAAATTTTGCTGAAAATTTCAAATTTGAGCCAATATGGTCGTGCTTTGGCTCATTTTAAAGCTCTTAACTTCCTGAATTCAAATTCAATAAGCTAAGGAGCTTGAAAGCTATTCTTTCAGCTCCAACCCAACAGTTTGCACTCCAGGATATGTGGCACCTGAACTTCTCTGAGAAGTATGGAGCTGAGATTGACATTTGGTCGGCTGGAATCATTATGGCTGGGAAATGTGAGTTTAGTTAAATTTTTGAATTTTTAAAGAACTTTTTGCAGTATAAAAATAGTATTTCCAAATCTAGTGAAAAATTTGGGTGAGTTTTAAAAATGATGGCCTAACTTTCTAGATTTCTAGTCCACCACTGAAAGAATAGTCTGTCATCTTCGAGCTCAATTATCTCAGTTCCTATGAGCGATATCAAAAAGTGGTCAACTAATAAAATGTAGCTGATAACTTGATAAACATTTTATTAATTAATCACTTTTCGATATCTTTTATGGGAATCGAGATAACTGAGCTTAAATTTAGAAGTCATTCGCATCGATCAGTTTTATTGCATATACTTTTAGGCTTTATTATCTCAGTTCCTAAAAGAGATATCAAAAAGTGGTTAACTGATAAAATGTAGCTGATGATATGATAAACAATTTATTAATTGACAACTCTTTGAGATCTTTTATGTGAATTGAGATAACTGAGCTCAACCAAATAAGGGTTTTAATATTGCAATTTTCCAAATTCGGCAGAATTTCCATGAAAGACTTTCTGATATTTCCCATTGTGGTCGCTTCAAATTCCTTTTTTTTCAGGTATAGTATACTGTAGATTTTCAGTAAATGGAGAAAGAAACAACCACGGAAAGACCCACCAAAAAGGGGAAACGCGAAAGGACACTGATCCATCCAACTGCATAGCTACTCAGTTAGTTATTTATTTATTTTTTCGAATATTCAAAATTATAAGTTATGAAAATCAATAATTTTCAGATAATTGATGGATTGGTGGATGCAGAAAAAATCGATCTACATGAAGGAGCAAATTAGCCACACACCACAACACTCCGGGTCTGTAATTTTTTTGTTTTTTTCCACTTGGAGCTCAATTATCTCGGGTCCTATGAGAGATATAAAAAATGTGTCAACTGATAAAAATCGAATTATACAAGAAAAGAAGAGAACCAGGGGTCTCAGTGGGCGGAGTCTTGAAAGAAAAAAACTATGGGAAACCCATATATGCATTTAATTGGCATCCAAGAAACTATTTTTTTTAGAATTCACACAAAAATAATTTTCCAAACGCTTTTTTAGATTTTTTTGGACAGATGTCTATCGATTAGGATTTTTGTATTTTTTTAATGAAAAGATCGAATTCAGCATGAAATTCGCTTCAAAATGAGCCTGAACACGACCTATTTTTGATAACATTGGAATTTTCGAAAATTTTTAAATTTTTTCAGATATTCCAATTTTTAGGTATTTTCAAGCTTTCAAAACTAGTTTTCCGGGGTCCACACAAAAATAAAAAAATTTTGACCCCACAAGGAATCGAACTTTTGGCCTTGTGGTCCTTAAATTTTGGTGACAAAACCCACTGAGCCATTTGGCACACTTTTTTGAAAAATGTTATTTTTGAGTGTTTTAGTGGTTTCTTGGAGTTTTTAGTGATTTTAAGTAGTTTTTCATGTGTTTTGGGTTGTCTTTCATAGTTTTAGAGGCTCGAAAATCAATTTTTCCGGTTTTTTTTACCTGGAAAGCTAAAAAAAGGCATAAAAGCGAGAGAGCATGGGCTTCTAGAGAGACGCAGAGAAAATCGTGAAAATCATTTCTGAAAGTTTTTGAATACGCATACAATATCAAAAATTGGGAAAATTGAAATTTTTAAATTTTTTCAGATATTCCAATTTTTAGGTATTTTCAAGCTTTCAAAACTAGTTTTCCGGGGTCCACACAAAAATAAAAAAAATTTTGACCCCAGAAGGAATCGAACTTTCGGCCTTGTGAACCGTAAATTTCGGTGCCAAAACCCACTGAGCCATTTGTCACACTTTTGCCAAAAATGACATTTAGAGGGTTTTTTTGGGGGGTTTTGAAGGTTTTTTTAGTGGTTTACTGTAGTTTTTCATGCAGAATCGAATAGAAATAATAATATGAATGCATTTATTAGAAATGTTAAAAATATTTTTAATTTGAATTATGACTTTCCTTTAAATATCGCTGGCATCTGCCTAGGGAAAAATGGGCGTCGTAGATAACGTAATGGCTCTCATTCATGCTTGACCGGTGTCCAAACGGAGAGGACCATCTTTCTCATCAGTGCTCAAAGTGCTTTCCCCGAGTGATATCCTACTTTGATGGCTTCCAGTACCGCGACAATGTCCTTTTGAGACTAGCTTCCAATACTTCAATGTGAATTTTGTTTTACAAAGATGCCAAACTTTCTTCATGTTCCAATAAGGACAGTTCACGATCTGGTTGTTCTTTTTCCATGAAGTCTTTGCTCAAAACTTGTGCAAGTTGGTTCCACGTTTCGACGTAATAGTGGAAACCGTGACGATGTTTCCGTTGTGGATCACCCCAACTGTTTCCACTGTGAAGAGCAGCGAGATTCCATTCATCCGTGTACCAATTCGTCAGGCATTTCATCATCCGTATCCACATCTTCCCTTATCATATCGTCCGTTGGATCATCTTTGGAAATCGAAATTTTCATGCTCATGCGGTTATCGTGAAATGCCTCTGATTTCGAATGTCCTGTTAGTGTTTTGGATCCATTTCTTTCTTGTTATAACTGTCATCCGTTTGAATCGTTATTTTGCTTTTCCGTTCTTGTTCGGCACAAATGAGATACGAGGTCCCGTAATGAACTTTCCACTGCCAATCCTTTGATTTGAATGTGACTGAACGTCGGATTGAGATAAGTAGCAATTTGTTGCACTTCTGAAATAACTATGTTTTGGTTTCTTTGAAAAAGCAAAAACCTTTCAAACACCCCAAAAACCCCTTTAAAATCTATTTTTTAGCATTTTTCAAAAAAAGTGTCCAGATGGCCGAGTGGGATTTTTCATTGAAATCTACCAGTCTGAAGGTCACAGGTTCGAACCCCATCGGCGGTAATTCTTTTTGTTTTTTGTGTAGAGCTGGAAAATGATCATAGACAGTCTAGAAATTCGATTTTTCTGGAAATTTTTTAAAAATGTCATTTTTTCCGTTTTTTTGTGATTCTTAGTCACATTTTTCAGTTTTCGGACCGGAACCAGCCTTAAAACTGGTTTTTAGGTTTCTGAGAGTGCTGAAAACCATTTAAAGCTATCTAACACCCCCTAGAAACCCCTTTAAAATCTATTTTTTAGCATTTTTCAAAAAAAGTGTCCAGATGGCCAAGTGGGATTTTTCATAGAAGTCTACCAATCTGAAGGTCGCGGGTTCGAACCCCATCGGCGGTACTTTTTTGGTTTTTGTGTGCGAACCTTAAAAATGATAATAGAAAGTCTAGAAACTTAAGATTTCTCTGGAAATTTTCAAAAATTGTGGTTTTTTGGGATTTTTCAGACAAATTTTCAGATTTTCCAGAAAAATTGAAAATTCCAGATTTCCTATTATCATTTTCTAGTTCTACACGAAAAACAAATAAAATCACCACCGGTGGGTTTCGAACCTGTGACCTTCAGATCCGTAGATTTCAATGAAAAATCCCACTCGGCCATCTGTACACGTTTTTGTGAAAATGCTAAAAAATGTATTTTCCAGTGTTTCTAGGGGGTTTTTGATAGTTTTAGATGGTTTTCAGCACTCTCAGAAACCTAAAAACCAGTTTTAAGCCTGTTTCCGGCCCGAAAACTGAAAAATGTAACTAAAACTCACAGAAAACGGAAAAAAAATGAGATTTTTAAAAACATTTCAGAAAAACCTTAATTTCCATTCATCCTACTATTATTTTTGAGATCCACACAAAAAACAAAACGATTTGCCACCGGTGGGATTTGAACCTGTGACCCTCAGATTGGAAGATTTCAATGAAAAATCCCACTTGGCCATATGGACACTTTTTTCAAAAATGCTCAAAAATCGATATTTATGAGTTTTTAGGGGGTGTTAGGCGCATTTTTGATGTTTTCAAACGGTAAAACCAAAAAATTTTTGAGAGAAAAATCCAAAAAACTCACAATTTTCAGAAAAATCAGCAAAAAATTGAAGACCTCCATCCAGAAGAAGGTCATTAGCAAAGTTATCTGAAAGTATACTTGTCTGGAATTCCAATTTTGAGCTCAAAAAACTCACAAACTCACAGAAAATCAATACCTAGAGAGGCCATTACACACATAGCCATGTAGGGGGAGTATATACGAATGAAGGGGGTTAAAAGACGCTTTCGGTCTCCACCTGCTAGTTGCCATAGCTCTCTGTGTCTCTTCGAAATCTATACTCTCTCGTTGCTCAAGGAAATTGCCCGCAGTTGGAGAGCAGAATGACTGGAGATTCCGAAAGAGATAGTGGAGGATTAGAGATATGAATCAGATAACGTCTACTGATAAAGGTTTTTTCAGTTTGAATCAAAAATTTGAATTCAGCATGAAATTGCCTTCAAAATGAGTCCCAACATGACTTGCACGTATCCTGTGGCTCTGTTAAACACGGCTACTTTCACTTTGAGCTCACTTATCTCGGTTACTGTACAAGATATCAGAACATGGTCAACTGAGAAAATGTTTATCATATTATCAGCAACATTTTATCAGTTGATCAATTTTTGATATCTCTTATAGGAGCTGAGGTAATTGAGCTCAAAGTTTATTGTAATGCTCTGAAAATGATAAATCTGAAAATTCGCATTCCAAAAAGAAAGAACAAAATGGAGAAGAAAATAGTTTATTTTTAATAGATTTTATTTTAAATTTAGTGCAAAGTTGACGTTGTGGCTGCTAGACCAATTTTCTGTTGAGTGGAAAACCTAGAAAAAATTTGTGAAGATGTACTAAATTTTTTTAAATTATTGAATTTTCGAAAACTCATTTATATATAAAAATTTAGATTTCAGACGAAAGCAGTTTTAAAAACTGTTTAAAACCATCAAAATACCTCCAAAAGAGCATTTTTTGAGAATTTTACAAAAAAGTGTCCGGATGGCCGAGTGGGATTTTTCATGAAACCTACGGATCTGAAGGTCGCAGGTTCGATTCCTATCAGTGGCAAACCTCTTGGTTTTAGTATGAGGACCACGAAAATTATCATAGAAAATCTAGAATTTTCGAATTTCTCTGGAAATTTTTGAAAATTAGTTTTAAAAAGACTAGAAACCAAAAAATTTCAGATTTTCCAGAAAAATCTAAGTTTCTAGACTTTCTTTTATCGTTTTTGAGGTCCACACACAAAAACAAAAAAAGTTGCCACCGGTGGGGTTTGAACCCGCAACCTTCAGATTGGTAGATTTCAATGAAAAATTCCACTCGGCCATCAGGACACTTTTTTGAAAAATTCTCGAAAAATGAGCGTTTAGCGTTCGAAAACATCAAAAAGGCGCTAAAACACCTCTAGAAACCTCTGAAAACCCCTAAAAACTCATAAAAATCGATTTTTGATCATTTTTGAAAAAAAAGTGTCCAGATGGCCAAGTGGGATTTTTCATTGACATCTACCAATCTGAAGGTCGCGGGTTCGAATCCACAGGTTCGCAATTTTTTTGTTTTTTGTGTAGAGCTAGAAAATGATAATAGAAAGTATATAATGCTCAATTTTTCCGGAAAATCTGAAAATTTGTCTGAAAAATCTCAAAAACCAAACATTGTTTCAACTTCCAGGAGAATAGATATTTCTAGACTTCCTATGACCATTTTCTAACTTCACACACAAAAACAAAAAAAGTTGCCGCCGATGGGGTCTGAACCTGTGACCTTCAGATTGGTAGATTTCAATGAAAAATCCCACTCGGCCATCTGTACACGTTTTTGTGAAAAGTGCATTTTTAGGGGTTTTAGGGTTTTTAAGTCAGTTTTAAATGAGATTTTGGTCATTTTAAAAACTGAAACATTGTTTTTTATAAAAAATACTGAAATTTTCAGACAATCGAGCTAGCTTACTTCTTTTTTGGAGAGCCTCAAGTGGCGGTTATGGTGGAGACGGTGTTCCAGTGGGTCGATGGAAGTTCCCGGGTTGGTAGTCCACCCAAGGCAATGCCAGCAGACCATAAAATCAATAAACCAGCAGCTGAAAAAAAATATGTTCTGGAAAAGTTCAGGAACATTTTTTTCTAGAAGATTTATTTCTGAAAATTTCCCAATTTCAGGGATACTTTTATGCTTAGTTATTTGAAATTATTTTTTCTGAATTGAGCACAACATTTGATTCAAAATGAGCCCAAACACGACCCTATTTGCTCGAAATTGAAAATTTAGAAATTTTTAAAGGCGCATACCGTAATTTTTTGGAAAATTCAAACTTAAACGACTAGGGTCATGTTTATACTCATTTTGAAGCTCTAAATGCGCTGAACTCAAATTTTCAGTCATAAAAATGAGAAAATGAACCAAGCGGCAGTTTTCCAAAAGAGAAATCCGGAAAAAATTTTTTTTTCCTAAATTTTCGATACAACTTCTCAAATTTTTGGTTTTTTTCGAATTTTAACATTTTAACCGCTTTTGCCTTGTTGAGAGCTTTAAAATGAGTATAAACAAGCCTATATTTCTGTGAAAAATGTTTTTTCGAAAAAAATTACGGTATGCGCCTTTAAAATTTTCGAATTTTCAATTTTGAGCAAATCGGCTCGTGTTTAGGCTCATTTTAAAGCTCTAAACAAGGCAAAAATGATGAAAATACTCTCATTTAAAAATCCAAAAATTTGAAAACTTGAAAAAAATTTTTTGAAAAAATTTCGAAATTCAAAAAAATCCCAAAAAACTCACAATTTTCAGAAAAATCAATAAAATTAGGAGACCTCCATCCAGTAGGTTGTCATCAGGAAAGGCTATCTGAAAGTATTTCTTGTCTGGAATTACAATTTTTTGCTCTGAAAACTCACAAATTCGCAGAAAATCAATAGTTAGAGGCCATTAAAAGACACATAGCCGAGGGAAACACATATAAAATGAATGCTGTTTTTTTGCCTTTTTATATGTGTTTTCTTTTTTCTCTGCGTCTCTCCAGCAATTTCTACTCTCTCGTTTTGGTGATTCATCCCTTCAAGGTCAGTGGTTATCTTGTGATCACTGGTGAGGAGATAGTGGAGGATTAGAGAAATGACCGAGAATATGTTATATGGAACATTTTTAAAGTTTAAAATTTGAAAATTCAAATTTCCCGCCAAATTTCTTTCAAAATGAGCCCAAACACGACCTATTTATATCCCATGAGTACCCTTTATCCCGCTGGTTTGAAGGCGCATACAGTAATCTGATGTTGGGTAGGAAGTTTTGAAATAGCAATTTCAAGTTTCCTACAAAATTCGGGTCTAGATGAAAAAAACTAGAAGTTTCTAGCTTAATTTTGACTTTTTCGGGTATTTTTGAGTTACTGTAGCCCCAAAAGTCGGCAAACACCGAATATCGAATTTCGGGCTGAAAATTCGAATTTAGACTAATTCTGGGGTGGGAAACACGAATTTAGTAGCGAAAATGAGCAAAAACAAACTTTAAACCAGTTTTCGCGGTTTGTTCTGGATTACTGAAGATGAATTTCAAATTTCATTAATCTGAGCAATATGGGTCGTGTTTGGGCTCATTTCAAAGCTAATTTTGTGCTGAATCTGAAAAAATGGTTTGAGACCGCTCAAAGCACAAATTTTTTGAAAATTCTGAAAGTTTTCAGACAATTGTTTTGGTCATTTGAGGTGTCGAAAAGGAACATTTTGAACATTCAGGAACTTTTTATTTATTATTATTCAAAATTAGAATACAGAGAATTCAGCCACTCGATCGTCATCACATTCTGAAGCTCTGCTTCCAACGCCTTCGTGACTTCCCAATGCGATCCACTCTCTTGGAAATTGCAATGAATCTTCTGGAAATTTACATTAGAAACACGTGTTTTTCAGTAGATTTTGAACATTTTCAGGAGTCTAGAGCTCGGCTGTCAAGGGTCGGACACCCTCCAAAATATTCTAAGCTATTGGACACTACTTGACAGCCGGAATATAGGCTTCTGCAAATGGTCAAAATGACCAAAAATGAACTGAAAAATAATTCCAAACAGGATTTTCATAAATAGTCTGAAAATCCATTTTAAACCCTACAATTCCGTCCAAAAACCAACTTTCTAGCTCATCTAGAACTCGAGATACGGTCATTTGAAGTTTCCGAGGTTAGAGACGCAGCGTGTCTCGTCGTCTGCGTCTCCATCTCGGTTCCTAGAAGCGCTAGAAATGTGATTTTCAGACAGCACTGTAGGAAAATTTGTCTATTTTCTTAAAGATAGATTTTTTGAAATTTTCAAAATTTTTGTGTTTTTGAAATTTTTCAGACAATTTTCCGATTTTTTTTGGAAAAATTGAGCATTATATACTTTCTATTATCATTACCTAGCTCTACACAAAAAACAAAAACAATCGCCACTGGTGGGGTTCGAACCCGCGACCTTCAGATTAGTAGATTTCATGGGAAATCCCACTTGGCCATCTGGACACTTTTTTCAAAAATTCTATAAAATTGATTTTAAAGGGGTTTCTAGGGGGTGTTAGATAGCTTTAAATGGTTTTCAGCACTCTCAGAAACCTAAAAACCAGTTTTAAGGCTGGTTCCGGTCCGAAAACTGAAAAATGTGACTAAGAATCACAAAAAAAAAGGAAAAAATGACATTATTTTAAAAATTTCCAGAAAAATCGAATTTCTAGACTGTCTATGATCATTTTCCAGCTCTACACAAAAAACAAAAAAAATTACCGCCGATGGGGTTCGAACCTGTGACCTTCAGACTGGTAGATGTCAATGAAAAATCCCACTCGGCCATCCGGACACTTTTTTAGAAAAAGCTCGAAAAATGTATTTCTGAGGGTTTTTGGGGGGTTTCTAGACGATTGTAGGCGCATAAATGATGGAAAATAACGCTTAATGCTTGTTGCGCCTAAAAACCTACACCGAGCCCAAAAATGCTCCAAAAATCGCCAAATTTTCAGATTTGAGCCATTCGAACAGGAATTCGCGGCTTAAAATGAACAATCCGAGGAGTAGAAGAATCCATGTGGCAAGGAAAACTATGTCAAGGATTATCATATGGTTTTGGAAGCTGAAAATTGGGATTTTGAGCTGAAAACTTGTATTTAAAGGTTCAAAAATGGACTTTCTGATGGAAAATTGCTTTTTTCAAGCTTTTTAGCATCAAAAACGGCTGAAATTGACTAAAAATAATGGATTTGAAATTTGAAATTCAAATTTTCCCGCCGCTTGTTTGCCGGTACGACACT